CAGCCTTGACCTGATCGCACACCGTGGCCCCGACGCAAAGGGCATCTGGATCAACGAGGATGCCTCCGTTGGTACATACTAAACCTCCATCTCACCCCCCGACCAACAGAGTACCAACTAACAACCCTCCTCACCAGGCCTCGGACACAACCGCCTGTCCATCAACGACCTCTCCCCCGCCGGCAACCAACCCCGTACGCAACGCCCCATCACCCAGTGCCCATCCCCCAATGCACACACCCTCCCCACTCACCAAACCCCCAACCCTCCCACTACTTGACCCCTCTCAATAGGAGCATAGTGGGGGGTGCTTGTTTTGATGCTTTCGGCGGAGTAACCGTCGCCTGGCTATCTTCCGGTCGTTTCTGTTTGTGTGCATTTCGAGTTGCTGAGTGAAATAAACGTTTGAATTGCGAGAGTAAAGTTCATGACGGTGATATATCTTGGCTCGCATGAATTTGGCATCTACAGGGGTTGTACAAGTGGTTATCATGCATGGAAACCCTTGGTTACCACATGTTGTGTCCGAACCACCGCTAGTTGATGCATCGAACTGCCACTCGTGCCCACGTAGATGCCATGGGATCCGGGTGCCCCTGAATAGCGGCAACAACGCTTCTCTTGAGGCAACGTCAACGACATGGATATGGCTCGATAGGGTACCTGGGCCGAGTGACTACAGCTAACAAGCAAGAGCAACATCGTGTTGACTCCCCTTCGCACTATAATAAAGAAACAACAAACCCATAGCACTCATATGTCAGGACCTACTCTTGAATTTGAGGGCCACATTACCTACTCGTCCTTCTGAGGCCAGCAGACGCTACAAAGCAAATGGCAATTCCACCTCGCTTTGTGCGTAGTCTGCAGTCTAAACTCTGCACTTCCTACCATGACCTAGACCGTGGCGCACCGAGAGGAATTTAGCATAAAGTCCCTCGACCTGGAGAGCCTAGGTAGTTAGCAGGCATCTCTTTCCACTCCCGGTCGTCGAGCAGTATTCACTACACCAACCACCATCAGTTCATCACCAACAAAACACCAAAACCCTTACCATTTCCTACGCCGTCAACCCCCTCAGCCACACCCACAGCCCGCAAAAATGTCCACTGCTGTAGTCTACCCGGACCTAGTACGCAGGCTGCACCTCCAAGATAGATTTAGAGAACTCATAGAGGACGGCCACGAACTCTTCAAGGACCCCCAACTCCACCAATACCGCGAAGTCAGCGACCACGCCAGCCAATTGATGTTACAGGCCACCGAATGGTTCATGCGGATGGACAACGACAGGCCTGATATTCCCGAGTTTCTCCTTGACCAGATGGGCGCTGGACATACTGGAGTCGGGGGTACGCGTTATCGGGGACTTCTTGCGGGCAAACAGCCGCACAGCGGACAACGGAGCAACGAACAGCGACGCAATAAGCGACGAAGCGGCCGCGGTGAGCATGCTCCTAGCCATTGGGGCGGCGCGGGAGAGGGCGGGCTGAATTACGGTTACGGGTTCGGGGATGGTAGCGTTACTTTTGATAGGTACGCAGTTCACGGAAATGAGTATGGATGAGGCTGTACACAATATTGTTGGCAAAGTGAGACCTCGTCTGTGTTGATTCATGGTGCCCGTATCTGTTTCGTTCTTTCCCTACAACAACTCTCGTTGCTAACAGATATCGACGTTATAAACACATATGTACGCCTAGAGACAGGTGTACATATGCAGTATCTTACATCACATTGCCATAATGCGAGGCCCTACCGCGGTTTACAACGACCAGATGTGACGAACCTACTTCAGGACCCTGTCCTGTTAGGGTTCAGCTTCGGTTGAAGGTAGTCTCTCAAGGGTGTTTAGGTTCGGTGCAGCCAAAGGGTGCACAACAAAGACTTGTCTCAACAGTAGGCTTTCGAGCTTGTAGCGAACTGTAGTTGTGATTGCTAACTGGAGAACTCCCAGAGCTCTCCAGAACGGGTGACTATATACTATCTAGGCTTCCTAGGTACCGGCGTACCTTTTGCTGGGAACGTGAGGAACGGTGATCGTTCCTCTCGTTCCAGACTGGATCCTGGGAACGGTAGCCGTTCCCTTCGTTCCTCTGCTGATTGGTCTGAGACCCATTCTTAATGATTGGCTGGGAACGCTTCCCGCGCGTGCCCCCATCGGGGCGTGGTACGCGACCATAACCGTGACACCAGAGGTGACGAAAGAAGGCTGCTTAGGTCTGTATACTGGCACAGTTTTAGCACCCCTTCATGGGTCTCTCAGGGTCACACATGGCAAGGTTCAACGTCGAAGCGCAAAAGCACGGCAAACGATATTGCAATACACTACCTACCACCGTATGATATTCCTGAGTATCCCATACCGCCCACACAGCCGAGCAACCTTGACCCAACCAACCCCATCACCCACCCAACCCATTCCAACCCATATGATATACTCCGCTGCCAAATAAGTCATAAAGAGGCAATAACCAATGCAAACAGCCATCCTCCGCCCAAAGCCAGAAAGAAACCCATCTAAACCAAAACACCACCCACCAATAACACCACTATTCCTACATCACACCCCCTCTCCCCTCTCACTCACCATATCACCTCAACACGACTCTTCACTCCAACCCCATCCTAACCTCATCACCCACCCCCCAGCTCCCAGCCTCCGCCCCCGCCTCCTGCACCGCAATCCGCGTCTGGGTCGCCAGCGCAGCCGCATCGTCCTCACTACTCGCCGCAACACTGGCGCGCCGGCTCCGCGAGCTGCGGTGCGACGAGTCGGTGACGCGACGGCGCAGGGTGAAGCGGGCGGAGCGGCTGGAGGTGGAGATCACCGAGGCCGCGTCGTGGTCTTCGTCGCGCTCGTCGGCGGCGGTTTGGCGGTGGTGGTTGCTGTGGGTGTAGTTGTGGGTGTGGGTGGAGGAGGGTGGGGAGAGGGATAGGGAAGGCGAGCTGGGGGTTAGGTCGACGGTGGGGACGGCGGGGGTTGGGTTGAGGCCCGTTGGTGGTGGGCGTGGGACTGCGGACGCGGGGGTTGTCGGTTTGGAGGGGGTGGCGGCGCCGTTGGGGAGTTGGCGGACTTGGTCGATGTCGTCCGCTTCAACGAGTTCGGCATCGCGGTACCATTTCCTTCGCCTGGTCCAACGGCCCCAGCCGTCTTGGCCGCGCCGACCGTTCTGCCACTGTGACGGGTTAGTGTATCATTTGGTGAGGGCGGTGCAGGCAAGAAGGGAACGGACCTTGTTGTCGTAATACACCCATCCCATCCTCCCACCCGGTCCGTCATAATCCCAGCCATCCGTTTTATCATCGATCGGCGTTACCGCTTCGTCCTGTACCCCGTCCACCCTCCACCGGGATCCCTCGGCCCACTGCCAGCGCATGTTACTCCCGTCCTCCACCTCGGGTAACTCAAACTCGGCGCGCGGCGGCACGGCATTGTTATGCTCGTCCGTCCATGCGGGCCGCTCGTACCCAAATAAGCTAGTGGTCCACCCTATGCCCACCCAGCGCCGCTGGTTCTCGTAAATAATGAAGGTAAAACGCACGCCTGTGCCGCGGCCGCCGCGGGCACGGCGCAGCGCCTTCGTTAGCTCCGACTCTCTTGGCGACTTGGCGCCGCCCGGGGTGGAGGGCGTTTTCGCGTTTGACATGGCGGCGCTGCTCGTCGCCGACTTGGTTGCTGCAGTGGTAGCGGAAGCGGCCTCAGTAGTACCTTCAAAGGGAAGGCCGGTGACAAGGCTCAAGACTCGTCGGAGGGTGGCGCTTCGCCAGAGGATGACACGCGTTACGCGGATGACACGGGCGTGCCAGGTTAGGAGAATAGTGCCCAAAATCAGGATGACACGTCGCGTTGTGATAATTCGGAGGGGTGGGAGAGTAAGGAGGATCCACGCCGGAATGCAGAGTAGAATGCGGACGAAAAGAGTAGTAAGTGCCGGCCGGGTGGTTGCCGACGTCGGTGTGCGTTGGGTGCTGAGGAAGTCGGTCAACTCGAGCAGCGGTTCCAACAGAATGTTACACCTCGCCGTAAACTCGCGCAGCGTCTCGACAATCTCATCCAGCGTCTTCTGATGGCGAGTGTTGGTAACCTCCGATATCGATCCCTTGTTTCTCGCATGCCCGCTCGCCCCCCCTGCTCCCGCACTACCGTTGGCCGCCTTGCCGTTCTTCTCAGGCAGTCCGTCCACCGACAGGTTCTTGCTCCCACGAGATCCCTTGGCGCCTTTTGCCTCAGCGACAACTGCCGCACCGTCCGCTGTGCCAAGTCCCGGCTCGCTCCATCCGCTGCTGCTCAACGGGCTGAAGCGCCGACCATACATGCCGCCGATCAGAACAAACACCAGGACCAACGGGCCCGCCACGCGCACCACGAAATCCCCGTAGAGCACGGCCGCCCAGAAGCCCGCCAGCAGCAGGAAGCTCTCCCACGGATCGTTCGTGGTCCATGTTATCAGCCCGACTAGCCTGTTGAGCGGCAACAGAAACGGATGGCTGTATGCGAGCGCGCGAGTAATCTGTGGTGGTGTAGCAAGGAGGAGTGGCGACTTCTGGTGTACGAGGATGGTACTTCTCCTCTTCGCGGCCGAGGTGGCGCTCGGGGTGGTCGCGCTCAACGTCGCGGGGGAGAAGGAAGCGTAGGTCGGGGGCGGCGCGCCCGAGAAAATCGTGGAACCATCGCTACGGGATGGGGTGGATTGATGTTGCGATTCCAAGGGATCGCCGTGCTGCGTGAGAGGAGTCGACATGTGCTCGAGCCACGGTTCCTAAAGTCGGGGCAAGTATCCCGATTAGCTGTTGTCGATACTGGGCCGCTCATGGCAGTCTCGAAAGCTAGTGTGTATGATGAAGCCACACGGGACTTCCGGGGATGTCGTCATGAGATGTTTGGTTGTCTTGGGATGGATGCTGACCGCTGCCGGATCTCATGGATGCCAGGGTCACAGGTCGCAATGGGAAGTTCCGTCCCTTCAAAAAAGGCGCCGACTTGGTCGGAAAAGATTGATGGCGGGGAAACGGGAGGATTGATGGGAAAAAGCAGATCGATAGGGTCTAGGCGTAAAAAAGCAAAGAGGATCAGACTCACAAATGCAGCCATGAACTTAGCTTGCCGACCGTTGCAGGACGTCGGCTGGCTCTTCCATGTGTGCCTGTAATGGCTTGCGCGCTCCCTGTAATGGTCACGTCATGGGTTGCGCGCCCAGACGTCAGCCAGCTGATGGAGAAATGCCGATCTAGACCCGAGGCCACAGAACGAGCCCGTACAAAATGGTAAAATGACAGGAGAGTGCTGTGCACGCAATGTATTTAAGTAACGGCTGCGATTTTAGATGCTAACAAAGAAAAAGAGGCACAAGAAGGAAGAAAAGAAGTCGGCATGTGCAGGCAGTTGGATCTCACGTGGCGGGTAATTGTCCGCTCCTGGCAGTGCCCAGACTGGGGTTGGGCCCAAGTCGTTGCCTGACCCCGCTGCCATCCCCCGGCTCGGCCGGGGAAAAATCACATGCAAATTGGTGACACGGGAATCGGAAATCTCGAGATGCAAAGCATGCCGTGTCCCGTGCCATCCATGATCCGTCGCGTGGTTAGGTAATTCCTTCTAGACGGCCGCCCAGACCATTGATAAAAGCAAGCCTTGTATTCTAGGGTTATAGGTTATGGCAGCTTGGAATGCAAGATAATGAGTCAAAGCCCCTCACAAATGCCTATCCTTAACGCCCTGACTCGTAAAATCATCAACAAAAAACCGGTGTTTCCAGCCAGTGTTAGAAATAAAGTACAGTCCAAGAGCATTGAGGACCACTCCCGCGAGGTATAAACAATTGATTCCCGATTACAACAATGTATGTACGATCGCCTCCTAATATCCATATATAAGACCGCAAGACGCTGCAGTCAAAAGCAACCCATCCATCGTTGGCCCCATTATCAACTCCCTCCCTGGTCCCATTTCGGCCTCTCGATTTTTGAAGCAAAACTCTGGTGAGGAGCTCTTCCACTAGAACCTTAACTCCTTTGACTTGTCTCTCTAGAGACTCATCCCCTCCTGGCCGGCCCTCTTCTGTTGAAAGTCGAGAAACCCGAGCATGGCGTTTGACACCTCAAAGGAAGTGACAGTCTTGAACCACGGATGGCTGATCAACGATCACTGGAGGAGGAGAGCATGCAACTCTCTCTGTAGTTGCTAAAAATATCCCAACTGTCGGCAGGATCTCTTCGAAGGAGGTCTCGAATTAGTCGATTTCCGCCGCGATGGTGGAGCAAGTATATTGAGCCTGCAGAGGCAGAGTAACCCAGTCGCTCTTGTCGTCATCGCCTAGCCGCTCTCGGAATCACTTCAACTCCTCCCCAGCCCTAGGCCCAGCCGACAACGGCGTGGGCGTCTGGCTGGTGAATCGCCACTTGACCGAGTCCAATCTGCCACCGCCATCATGTCAGCCTTGCTCAATCTCATCAGAAAAAAAGAAAAAAAAGAAAAACTCACGAGAACCCCGGCGTCGGACACTCCACCGCATTATTCCACGAGCTCAACCGCTTACACAGCCTCCTGGCATGCAACGCGCCATTCTCCATCCCCCTCGCCGTCGAGCGCGCCTTCTCCAACACCAGCGTCTGCGTCTTCCCCACCCCACCACCAGCACCACCAACCTCACCCTCCGCCTGATACACCACCGTGACCACACAAACCGCGCCCCCCTGCACCGACACCCGCTCCACGCTCCTCACCCTGCGCGGATCGATGCGGACCGCCACGGACGCGTCCGACGGCGTGGTCAGCAGGCCGCTCTGGTGGTCGTCGATCAGGCGCAGGTACTGGCCGGCGTGGGCGGAGCGGAACAGCTCCGTGTCGCCGTCCATGAAGCCCGCGAGGTCGAAGACGTCCATGGTCGGGAGGAAGCCGCCGCCGCTGCTGCTGCCGGTGGGGGTCTGGGCGAGGGTTGGGGTGAGGGTGGGGGTTTCGGGCTTGGAGAAGTTGTTGTTGGGGTTGGGTGAGCCGGTTTTGTTGTTGTTGCTGTGGTGGCCGAGGGCCGGGGAATTAGCCCGGGTGTTGCTGGCGCTGGTGGTCGGGGTCGCGAGAGGGGTGGTGTTGAGGTGGAGCATGGATGGGAAAGTCGCTTGGGGAGGTGGTAGTTGGATCGGGGGCGGGATTTGGTCCCGTCGCTGGCTCGGTTCGGATGCCGCTGTTGGTGATGGTACTTGTGCTGGTGTTGGTGATGGTGATGGCGCTAATGTCGGTGCTGGTGTTGATGATGGCGCTGATACTGGTAGAGGCGCTGGTGCTATCGTGACATGTCTATTCGGGCCGGGAGCTGCCGACAACCGGATCTCCTCCGCCACTGGATCCTTGTACTGGGGTAGCTGTACCGGTGCGGATCCGGCCCTGTTGTCCCTCAATGGCTGAGCAAGCTTCGCGGTGACGCCCGATAACAATGCTGATCGTGAAGGGGAACCGCTCCGCATAGGGCCTGAGGGCAGCGGTCTTCGCGCATTGGCCGGCCTAGGCGATTGGGAGTTCGGGCGAGGCGCCATAACGGTGGGGCCTGGGAAGTCCTGCAGAATATTCTGCAGGCTGGCCGGGCTGGGCTTCCTCACGTCGTCAGGGGCTTGTGTTGGGCCGCTGTTTGGGGGCATGTTGGGGTCAGCCGGCCGCTCGGGCAATACCATGGAAGGCGAGGTGTGGGCCTGACTGGTGGGGTGTCGGTTGCTGCTGCGGGCATGAATCTTGAACACCCGCTTGTGGCCCCCTCCTGTGCTCGACACCGAACCGGCCCTTGACGGCGGCTCGGGACTCGCACGGGCACTCCGTGAAGCGGTGCTATCAGCACTACCGCCAGCATTGATAGCGGTGAATCCGCTGCGCAGCGGCCCTTGCAAACCAAGCGTTGAGCTGCAATGTGCTGCGCAGAAGGGATGTCGGCAGCCCCCCGGATATCATCTCCCCTAGAAAAGCTGGTGCCGTTGGTAGAACCCGAAACGCCCCTGCTGACGGAATCCCGGTCGGAATCGCCGTGCATGTCCCCTGCGTCCTTCATCTCGATGTCCTCTGCCGTGGTGTTGATGGGCGGGATACGGGGTCGTTGCGGCGCAGCGGTGACCGGCTGGCGCAAAACCCGGGTGACGTAATAGTTCCGAGCCTCTCGGACAAAGGGAATATCTCGCGAACTCGGGTCCTCGAAGTCGAGATTCGACAAATGGGCTGACGCCACCCACCCAACACACCACATACGGCTATCTGGGTCAGTTGGGTCTTGAGCGTAAGAACATTACGGGAAGCCTTACCAATCGGCGCTCTCAGCACACAAAACGGGGAATTCCCGTTTCCTCTCCAGCGGCCCACCGTCCTCATAACCCTTCGCCCAGCTCTTGATACCCGTGATACGACCGCCTTCCTCGCGATACACGTAGCACTTGGGTGGTTTGGGCACGCCGAGCGGCCGCCCGTCTTCCGAGGTCTCCCGGAAAATGCCCGTGTCCGCCAGCTTGCCCATCAGGCCGGCTGGCGTAATGTCGTCCCACGGCAGAATCATGACGGGGCACTTCAAGTCCCCGCCACTCGTAACATAGAACTGGCAGGGGAGGGGGTTGATGATGCCGGCCATGCGTTTGCGGTGCAGCGCAGCTTTCTGGGAATTCAGGGGGTCGAGAGGAGGGTATCCCATCTCAGCGCGCCGCGTCTGACTAAGATTGTTCGCGTTGAAAGCCTTGTACCCATCTTTGAAAGCCTTCAGCACTACTTGATTGTTCTGGTTCGCTCGCTCCTTCGTGCAATCGACGACCCGGTGTCCCAGCGTCTCGATGGCGGTCGCATGCGCTTTCGACATGAAACCATGCTGCGCGCTCGCTAAATGTTTCGCCGCGCCGCGAAGGGGATGCTCACCGAAATGCACTCCATGTTCATCACACCTCAGGATGTAGAAATCACCGGTCGTCGGGGGATACTGAACTATGACATGCTTATATGAAGCCGGCTTCTCGGGTGTGCCGTAGACCTGGGCGAACGTGATGGTCCTTTCGCTCCTTTCATCCTCCTCGTCACCGGCCAGTGGGGGCTGACCAGTGCTTGGCTTGGTGGCCTCGCTGGCGCTCTCCAGTTTCACGCGCTTCGCGCGACTCGACTGCGCGGGTGAGTCGTAGGTTGGCTCACCATTGGTTTTCCGTTTCAGGTCATGGTCGAACTTGGGGCTTGGGGATGCGGAGACGGCGGGCTGTTCGGTGAGGTTATCCTGTCCTGGGATCGAGGCCGGACCCGCTGGTGATCGGAGGGCAGATGGGTGCTCTTGGTCTGGATGGTCCCGAACTGTGGGGCGGGGGTAAGCCGACGGGGTTGGCGTTTCTTGGCTGTGGCCACCGTGATTCTGCGATGATCTCGCCTGTGCATCATAAGCGGTGGTGGTTTGAAACGGGATCTGCTGCCTATCCGCCTCCGTCGGGGTTGGGGTAGGCAAGGGGGTTCGCTGGGGCAGCGATGGAACCTCGGCTGCAGTCGGTGGCGCGGGAGAAGTTTCAGTGGAAGTGGATTGACGAGAGATAACAGCCGCCGGAACTGTTGTTTGAAAGGCATCTGACGGCCCGACCGGAAATGCCGGCCGATGACTTGGGCTCAGATCGGGCTGGTACAATTAGCAATAACCCGAAATATGCTGGGCAGCAATCACTTACCCCGGCAGTTATCAAGGCCGTAATAGCCGTGAAGAGTTCTGTGTCGTATCTTTGCCTCTGCTCGTCGTAATGTTTCCTTCGCTGCTTTGCCCTTTCCTGGAACGTTTGCCGTAGCGCTGCGATTTCCAGATCCCGATTCTTCTTCAGAACTGCCTCCATGCTCTGCCGTAGCGACGGCTCGATCCCGGCGATCCCTGCTAGCTGCTTCTCAAACTGTGCGTCGATTGCTCGTGACCCCTCGTCCACATCTGCGAGTGCCTGCTGCTCCTGTGCATCGTACTGGCAAACAAGCTCATCGATCTTGTGCTGTATCTCGGCGTGGTCGGCCTCGGCCTTCCTCGTCTCAAGCAGCAAACCCGACATCTTGAGACAACTGCGATGCGACCATGCGCTGTCTGTAACGTGAGCCTAGGTAAAAGACGGCGATGGTCTCGGCAGCAGATTAGGTACCAAGCCAAAAGGGACACGGGAAATTCAGTTTATCTGGGCCCGGTTTGGGTGATCTGGAGGCGGGGTCTAAAATGTTAGAGATGGGTAACAGTAAACAGCCGCGCCGCACAAGGGAACGATAGGAAGGTTGTGTGACCGCGCCTGGCGACACAAGGTGCCATAAAGATCCAGCCGCTACAGGCCGGGCAAGTAGGTGGAGGCCAGGAATAGGTACGACCAGGGCTGTCAGCTTGAGCGAGGTACGTATCTTACGTACGGAATGTGAGCTTGCGGCGCTGTTTTGCCCTTGCCGCTCGTCTGTGAGGGCGTGGTTTGAAAAATGCCCACAGAATCTAGTGGGAAGGAACGGGGTTCAAAGTCCGATTCCTGCTGCACATTTTCTGGATTAGGCAATGCACAGCCGAGCGCAAAGAACTTTTGAAAAATAAAATAAAGCCAAAAATTGAGGCCATGGGACGGGATGGTGCGAAGGAATGAGGTGCCACTTCACTTGAAGTAAAGCATTTTATTCATTCTCGCCACAATAGTGCGGTAATCAGTGGAAGAAGGAGTCAACTTGGCCACACACGCAAGAGAACGTACGGGTTTTGTCCGCAAACGCCAGCAGCCCGACTAGAGCCTTCATGAGTGGCGACTCGGACCGACACAGAAAACGCGCCTCGGTAACTCGATCGGAGAAAAGATCAACAGTGGGCTTTGCTTACCTCTTGGACTTGATATTATAAAACAGCGTGTACTCGTCTTCCACGTAGCTGAACGCGACCGGGGCGAGATGCGACTGGAGCCGACGATGAAATCGTGGATCGCGTGTGGATGGGGTTGGGGATATGGGGGGGATAGGTGGAAAGGTGGTAGAAGGAGGCAACGTGGAAGGAAATGGTCGAGATAGCCACAGTTGCTTATTATTAGAGCTTGGCTAATCGCGCCAGTAAGGGGCTCGGGAATGCGAGTGAGTTCCAGGTTCCTCTACGGCCGCCCCCGTATCACCCTGGGCCGCTAGGAAAGTGGACGGTAGTCAGCCGGTGGGAGGTGCCGTGTACGGGATTGTAGACCACACTGTACCGGGGGCGCCCAGCCTGAGGCACGGTGGGGGGCTAGGCTCAATTCTGAAGGCTGGCGCGGACTAGCGAGAAAAACCATTGGGGCTGGGACCCAGGGAACGAGAGGTGTGACAGGGATTATGGCAGCGGTATAAGATTAGCACGAAAGGTTGCCCACCCGGTGTTAGCAAAGACGGGTAGAACGCCCGGCACGCCCTAGCATCGGTGTAACGGAAAAGCAAAGACGAGATTTCCTGTCAGACAGACAATCTTTACAACAAACGGGTCATTGCACACACACACACAACCAGCGCGACGGGGCAACAAAACTCGTAAATCGAGTGCGCGACATTGCGGGTGCCGTCAGGTGGCTGTTGGTTGGTTGGTTGGTTGGCTGGCCGCTCTCGTTAACTCTAGCGAGTAGCGAGCGACTTGAGATCGTTGGGATGGACCCTTCGTCGGGCATTCATGATTCATTCGCGCTTGTAGCCCGGGGGCTGATGCTCGGCGTGTGTGTGATATGTCCCATGCATTTGGCTCCGTGGACACGAGGCCCCTTGCACTTCCAGGTTGGGAAAATCCGATCATCCATGGCTGCCGAGGCGCCGGGAACCCACCATCGGCCGTTAGTGTCCCTCTCCCTCGGATAATCAAAATCCTTCCACGTTCGGGTTCGGTGTGTTGCGCCGAAGCCAGCGGCAGACGATTCCTAAATAAGAATCTAGAAGTACCCAAGAAATGACTGGCTGCATCCTAAGGGAATCTCGTTTTTATCGCTTTGGATGCGCATGCAACCCTGCGTCCATAGCGACCCTAGAAGGACACGGTCAGGTCCGAAGTGGTAATCCACCCGTACAATGCATGTAAGGACGTATTGTATTTGCTCTTTTTTTTTTTTTTTGGTTTTATTTTGGTCTGCCACGAATCTCTTTTACATCCATGCTCCAGTTTCCCAGTTTTTAGCTAAGCCCCCACCCGCACCACGCCATCGCCCTCCCCTTACAAAATCCGAGTCTCCCTATCATGACTGCGCCAAAGTTATATTGGCTAGATTTTTTGGCGCTTTTCGTAATTAGTGCGTCGGTCCACCAAACAAGTGGCGTCGCGCGTACAAAAGCGCACTTAGTGAGCACCAGCGGTGTCGCAGCCGCCGGTGGCTTCCGAAACACAGTTCGCTGATCGTAATCACCCCCCAGTCGTTCCCAGTCTGAATCGTCATCTGTTTCATCCCTGTATCTAACCCGATTGCTCTCCCGCTTACTCATTGCTCACATACGAATACTTGGTACGTTTGTGGGAATAGCAGTCATACGTGGTAGACAAAATCTACTGTGGTACGATTAGAGATCAATGGGATTATCGAGGTGGAGCTTACGTTCGTACCCAGACCGATAAGCCGACCATTATGCATCCTCTCTGACTCGAACATTTCCAGTTTCAATGACAAATCATCGGCGCGTGCATAAAACCGCATCGATTTACTCTAGGCCACATGTGACCGCATTGAATGATCTACTGTCGACGTCCTTCCCATCGAGCAGTATCCGTGATTGGAGCCTAGACTGGGGCTAGCAGGCGGGGTGGCCTACCCGCATCGCCACCTCATTGCCAATCGAGCAAGCAGAGCGCAGCAGGCAATCTTCTTTGGAGGGGGCAAATGAGCCCTCTCAAGTCGCCCTCGTGCCTACGTGCCTACGTGCCTACGTGCCTACCAAACAAAGTCGTCATACACCCGACGACGTTCAAGCTGCGGCCTAACTTACCCAACGGGAATGACCTCCCTCTAGTGACCCCGACGCGCGGCCGAAAGGCGGTTACCGTTACGGTGTCATAGCATCTAGGCAGTCAGGTGCTGTACAACGCCCGGTGCCGTCTCGATAGTGGAGGGGACTAGCGATGTAACACAAATGGCACCATTCGTTAGACACGGAAGCCGGCCAGTCATCAGCACGGAGCCCCCAATCTTGCCGAGTCCATGTCCAGCTCGGCCAATTCGGACGGGGTGATTGATGAAGGAAATGACGACAAAATGAACAATGATTCGCACTCGGGCACCCAGTTCGGAGTCCCAGTCCCCCACTGCACTAGGCAGTCTTGCAGTCTTGCAGTCTTGCAGTCCTTGCATGTTTGCCATCACCGCCGCCAGGAACCACCGCATTCCCTGCGCGTGCAAGTTGGTCCTGACTAGGACATTGCACATCGGTCAGGGGTGGTTGGTTGACTTGGTTGTATGGTCCACAGTGCGACAAAGTTCGGGTGGCATACGTTGGAGCTGTAAGTAACCGCGCCATCGGCTGCCGCCAATGTTGGCGGACCATGGGCCGAGCATTCCCGCTTGCGTTGTTGGCGGCCCCTCTAGCCCGGGCGAAGAAAGCGAGATAAACTGTGGACGGTGAAGATTATCCGCGCATGGGGCCCGGGCAGCCTATCACGCCAGCTGAAATCACCCAACCGGTCTTGGCCAGGGGGGGGCTCTGCGAGGCCGGCTCGCCGGGTTGTGGCACTACTTTCGTACCATGCGCTGCTCATCGCTCGATTCGTTATTCCCAGCCTCCATCGAGGCTCGGACGATACCGCAAGTAGCGAACGGGTTTCGGTGTTTCAGACTTTCAGCTGTCCGTTATCCGTTGCGTGCCGAGCGGGAGGCCGTCCGATTGATGAAAGTATGAAACCTACTCCAGCAGCCATGGAATTCCCGCCACCGTGAGCATTTATTTGCGGCACTGCCCTTTGTTGGTGATACAAGTTTTGGTGATGGCTAAAAGTGGCCGAGTCGAGGCCGTCCCAGGGGTGGGGTTAAGAAAACTTGGAAGTTGGACATCACCGTGACAGGATTATGTTTTTGTCATTTCGTCCTCGCCGTCCTATCGTTGGCTATGCTTGGCTAGAAATAAACACTTTTTTCTCCTTAGCATCCCGAATAGAAATCGGGCAAGCTCGTGGAGATAAGTAAATGCAACCTCATATCACAAGACCAGACTATAACGCGACGATACTGTTTGATGATTACCTTGGTATTGCCTTGAGTCAGCGAGCAACGAGTTGCTCGCTGTTTAACTATCGTGAAAGATATCTTGCCAATTCCGTCTTTGTGGAAAGCGACCATGGGCGACAACAAACGAAATCAAGCGGACAAAGGGGCTCGACGTGACGGAAAAGACAAAGGGCGAGACGTGGTCCTTCAGAGCCTCATTTAATGCTTGCATCCTTCCGTACCAGTTCCCAACTTTGAATACCATCCACAGCTTTGAAGTAGCTTGAACACTTTTCTCGTAGCGTCAGAGAGAATCTCTACCTCAGATAAGAAGTGGTTCCGTTTATGGAATCCCCGAATATCCCCGAGCGGCGTGATGACCTCCCCAGCTGCGGCCAGGGCGGCACAATCCCCCTGCAGACTGGTCCCTCCCTGTAAACAGGGCAACCACGGTTTCTACATCGATGCGAACGGCGAGCGTGTGAACAAGACTATCGGGAAGTATTACTTCACTGAAGACGCACTCCAGCAAGATCTTGCAGCCCTCAAAAGGGGGGAGGCGTACGACAAGGATGACTTCTTCAGAAGGGCAAAGGCATGGTACAAGGCCGAGATTGACCGGAATATCCACTTCGAAACTGTACAACAGGTAGGTAAATATAGAATCCCGTTGGGGGCTAAAACACGCCGTGGCCTAACCAGCACGTTACTACCGTGAATAGGAGATGTTCCAACCCGCCTCCAACTCGGCCGTTTCGAAACACGTCGTACATAAAAACGAAACTCCAGCGTCGCCGAATAAAGATTTAGACTTCGTTTCCCGTCGTACAATCGAGACTCGATCTCAAACGCCAACCCGAATCCAGCCCGTCCGCGCCGCAAAACGGAAAGCCACCACACTGCCCCCGACCAAGCGGCCCCCACGACGCAACAAGAAGATGGAATCGGAATCCGGACGAGCAGTGAGATCCACCGCAATTCAGCCAGGGCTACAATCCGTCAACTCGCACAGACCCAAAACAGAAACCGAGACAAGAGGCGACTACATCCTAGCCGGATACGACTGGGCCCAGTTCCTCAACGGCAACCAGGGCGAGCACCACCCTTCACCCTGGTCCTGCGTGCAGCTGCAGGGTCTTGACGTGGCGTATTTCTGCATGCGGTTGGAAAGGGTGGTGGAGGCACAGATTAGCGAGCTTCTTGCCGAGCAAAGCCTTGGGACGGATCATGAACCCAGACGCAAAGAACCCGACAAGCGCCCCGCCGCCGCTGCCCAGGACTCCTCCGCAGGGATGAAAGAAGCCATCCCAAATCCCCACGGCGGCAAGGCAAAACCACAAGCACCAGTAGCCCCTCCAGCCTCTATTCCTGACCACACAACAACTCACCCCCAAATCCAAATCCAAACCCAAACCCACCCCAACCCCAACCCCGTCCACAACCACCACCACCACCCCCCGCCGCCGCCGCCACCAACCCCCTTCTCACCCGCCGCAGCCCTTCGCCCCAGAGCGAAGACTGGCGAACCACCATGCACAACCATTAACACCATCTTCACCACCCCCACTTCCACCCACCACCCTCACCCGCCACTTAAACCCCAAACCTCAGCATCACCATCAACATCCACCACCACCACCAACCTGAGCAGCCTCCGATAGTTCACCGCCGCGCCGAGCAGAACCAGACCCAGACCCAGACCCAGACCCAGAATCAGACCCAAACCCTACAGCAGGCGGCGGTGGCGCCCGAGGCCGAGATGGAGATCAGCCCGACGCTGGGCCAGTGGCGGTGGCAGCGGCGGCGGGGGAGTGGGTGGGGGGATCTTTCTGGGTTGGGGTTGGGGTCTGGGTCTGGGTTGGGGCCCGGATATGGAGATGGATATGGAGATGGATATGGTGGTGTAGGTGTAGGTGTAGGTGCGGGTGAGGGGGGGATTAGGCTGGATATAGAGAGGTCGCCGGTGGTGGTGGAGGTTTCGGGGTTGCGGTTTGTGGTGTTGTTGTTGTTGCCAGCGGCGGTGGCGCTGTGTTCGTGCCGGAGTGTCGGGTCGGAGGTGGAGGGTTTGGGGCCGGGGCCCGCGGGGTGTGGTTGTGGTGGTGGTGGGAGTGGGAGTGGGAGTGGTGGGCTGGGGGGGTTGGGGGCCAAGGAGGGGGTGAGAATTTGGATGGTGTGATTCAATCAATCACTGTGATTGAGGTGAGGTGAGGTTCTTTTTTTATGGGGCACTGCTTGGGAGGAACGGGGATTTGGACTGGGCGAGATGGGGGAAGGATTTGGGCCGGATCTCTGGCGTCTTGGTTCTTGTGGACGTTGATCCTGCGTCCAGGCCGGGATGCGGTAACACGGGTATGGCGTTGTGGGCATGATTTGTTTCGAAGTTGTTTTATTCTATCCCAACTGTGGTCTCAAATCACCCGGCTTGTTCGTCCCCATGCCATTACGTACTCGATCCTCAACTTCTGTCAACGAGTGTTTGCCGATCGTTCCTAATCTGAGTTGCCATCCCTCGATGCGCTCCTCCGGTTTCCCGGATCCCTTCTCCGCAGTGTCGGGGATTAACCGCCCGAGGCTTACCCTCGCACTCGGTTTTACGAGAACGTCGTAATAGCAGTGCCGATAGTCGCTTTCAAGCCGGCATAGTCAGTGCTCAACGCAGCGGCAACGCTGGCCTCGAGTGTGCCAATGATGCCCAAGGCAAGCGTCTACCCGGCGTGTCAGAGAAGTCGTCCTGATACAAGACGTTAAAAGCACTGTGGCAACTTACATCAACCACCTTCTCCACCGATCTCAACACGGCGGCCACGGGTGGTCCAGCAAACGGGATCTTTGTGATGAAGCCGCCCACGCCGATCAAAGCATCTAGCAGCGTCTGATGTGTCTTGACAAACAGGCGGAACGCATCGGCGATGGCCGTGGCCTCGACACCGGTGTAGTTAGCCCTTGGGGCCGGCAGACATGGCACTGACATCGAGAGTGGCCGTGGCAACAATATCGCCGAGGCCGAGTATGACTTTCTGTGTTTTGTTTTCATGTCAGCGGTAAGACGAGGAGGCGCAAGGGTGATAAAAACGAACCGGCCATGGACCCTGGCCGAGAATAAGCAAGGGGGCATTGGCTAGGGTGAGTTCCTTGGCTGGCTGGATCAATTTCTGGGACTTGACGGTGAGAACTTGGATGTTCTCGACCACCACGGTTGCCTTCATTTGGGCGAGTGTCACTGAGCCTAGAGCGGCCAGTACGGTGAGGATGGAAAAACGCATGTTGACGGGTCTGGTGCTTGAGCTGGATGACTACCTGGACCGTTAAGGTACGAGCTACTCGACTGTCTGATGGTTGAGGATACTTCGAGTGAAGTTCGTATCTGCAATAGCTTTTCCTCCTAGAAACACAGTTGAGAAAGCAAGGCTATATATATGCTTGAATATATTATTTCCAAGGCACTCAATTAAAACATGGTAGCCCTTGGGTTTATTTCATGCCACAAGCACAGTGACAATGTAGTTGACTCAGGACAAGCATTGCTGAAGACAAATGGATACTTCGGGTGTTCCCAACAGTCGACATCGGCTTGGTATTACGATCGGAATGCTCGGAGAGACCCGGGCTAGTTAACACCGTATTGGAAGGGTTGATTAGGGCCTTATCACAACAGAAGAAACAAGCTAATGGGATTTGATCGCGATGAATTGACTTTGAAACACAGTTGCCATGTGGTTGAAATTCGTCTAAGACAAGGCCAACCCCAAAAGCACTGGCAACGGGAAGGCCCGTTTGATTGATTGGGTTAGTTGCTATAGAAATGGCAAATGTTGGGTCCATTCTTTACTTGACTCTGCTATCACTCCTGCCTCTGGCGTTTGTGTTCGCCTTGGGTAAAGGCCAGGGCCAAAGGCTGGTGTTTGCCTCCAGCCGGCGGTATTACTTCTCAGTGGCGCCGGGTCGACGCCTTTGGGTACTAGCGGGAGCACAGGGCTGACACTGGAGGGTCGTTCGAGTTCGCCTGCTGCGGGAATGCCATGGCGGGGATGCCACACAATGACAGCTGGCCTGCAGCCTGCAGGCAACAGGAGTGACATTGACGTGGCAGTTGATCTTAGTACCACTTGTGGCACCGTGTTGCGATCTCTATATCGAAACAGTTACCTCACCGTTACTCTCAACCTCTAGGATTGCTAATAATGGTTCACGGCGATTCAGAGTTCATTCAGACCGGTCTTCAATCCTGATGTCATGGCTTCCCGTGTTTGGCAGCAGGCAGCCCTCTTCCGCCACGCCAGAGAAGCCAGTCGAAGCTATCAGCTTTTTCGACCAACCATAGACTGATGATGGTCCACCGCGCAGGACGGAAGTGCGGGGGGCCACCGAGACAGACCGTGGATGAGCTTGTCTCCCACGAGCTGCAGCTGCGAGTTTGGGGGGCTTGGCTTCCATGACATGGAACATGTGCAGAGTCGTAACCAGCTTATCAGCTTTCGGACTTGCTCGGTACCTACTTGGGTCAAACAAAAGAGAACGAGACTTCGCGTCGTGCCCGGTCCCGGTAATCGGAGCACCCCGGCTTGGAAATTTCTTCCGTGAGTGTTGGTTTCTGCGATACCACATTACTCGATAGTGGGAGGCACCAGTCCGAGATCAGCACCTCTTCCGGCTGGTTGATCCTACACAGTAGGGGAGACCACCTGTTACCAGGATCAAGATATCAACAATTGCACCCCCTCGTCTAATGAGGAGTATTGTATGCCACTTCGGTCGCGTTGGCGCTGGCCGCTGAAGGAAAATCCCTGGGAATTTCCGACAAGTGGGTCGCTTGCCTCGGGGCTGCACGAGCAAGAAGCCGATGCTGGTTCCGCAGAAATCCCTCCCAAGGAGAGGATGGGTTTGACTGCACGAAGGCAATTCTTCGGCCGTCACCGGTGACACACTAACTCGTACTTGGGCACTTGGGCCAGGGCACGCTAGGGCAGATTGGCCGTGGCGACCGGAAGTGCTGAACCCCGTGCACACTGACTGGACACGCTTTACGCACAAATCTCGCAGGCGGGCGCAGGCCTGCGGTGGGACCGGGTCTCAGTTTGGCGCGACCAATCATCTCAACCAGGGGCAACCTCGGGTGGGCCCACAACGCAGCTGACACAGACTCAACCACTTCAACCGAAGCGCCATTGAGCTCTCAAGTTGGCAGGCGGGAACGCCACGGTGACAAGGGCGGCCTCGTGGGACTGTGACTGCTGCGGGATCCTCCTTTGGTTCGGCCCTGCAGTCATCATCCCGATAGCCTATGGTGGTTCGAGGGTGGTCCAGCAGCGACGGGCAAGTTCTACCATGTACGAAATAGGTGTGACAAACCTGGTCATCGAACCTGCCGGCTCTGACCGCTGGCTGGCGTGGGTCGTGAGTGGATGCGGCCAAGGCAATCCAACCCGTGAAGGAAGGCACAAACCACGCACCGCACAAACCACGCAACATCCAAGGCAAGAACTGCCAAAGCTGACCTTCTGACTTGCCATCTGCCTGGTCTATAAGTAGCGGGGAACCCTTCTCCATTCCACCAACATTCTCCATCCACACACAGCTCCATCTACCTCCATCAAAGCAAAACACCAAACCAACTATCACTTTCCACCAACTCAACAACACAAACTCAAAATGTCTCCTTGCAACTGCAGCGGTTCCAAGTCGGCTTGCAACTGCGGCTCTAGCTGTTAGTTTCCCCGCTGGCTAGCCAGTTTCTGACTGATCATGCTAACCTCCGATTACCAGGCTCTTGCTCCGGCTGCAACTAAATTTCCCCTTTCTCTCTAAGAGACAAGGACGCCAACCCACCCATCTCGTCGACAGCCCGAGCTTGACTTTGCAACACCCGGGTTTCTCTTTCGGCAACATGGTTTTGGGGGCAAGTTGGTGTTAATATGGACCTCGTTGGGGCGGAGGACGGGGGGACGGATTTCATGATTTATGATGTTTGATGGAATGCACGAATGAAGAAGAACTGCAGTTCTGGCCAGTCGTTTCCGAAATGATACTTCGCTTCATCTATTGAGTGTGATGCCTGTCTGTTTCCTGATGTTGTGATACTCGTACATGATGTCGTTATTTGTTTCCATCTCTTTCCAATCTGCCCCGAGCTCTGGAAGAAGTCGCGATCCACTATCCCCGTTTAGACCTTCTCGACAATCGCCTCGCTGATTACAATCAATGAGAAGCACGTCCGCAAACTTTTGTTGTCAACCCAGGTGCACTCCTACCTAGGTAGTACTAAGCAACCTACCCGTCGTCCCATGATGATGACATGGCGCGTACCGCTGCGCTCGCAATTGAACTCCTCGCGCCCATCGCCAAACGACAGAGTCCCCTCCTCATTCCCTCCCATCCGTTACTAACGCACCAGGCGAAAACTAGAACCCATCCTTCAGCTTTATTATCTCATAGCCCCAAGCCGCAATCGACCAAGAAGCGGGTATACCACATCGCCCGTCGAGAATGCGACCTGGGAGCGAGTCGTACTTGAAGTAGTTTATATTAATGTTAGAGAATGATATCCGTAGTACGCCCCCCACGACCAGAAGGACAGCAAGGGTCTTGAAGGGCCCTGATGTCACGACAACCCTCAATACAAGAAGCTCCCAAATAGGCCGTGATTGAGTTTGGCTCCGAGCGCCCCAGCTAGTTCCCGCGCCAGCAACTCGGGAGAGAATGGCGTCGCCCGGGTTATCGCGAGGGTGGAGGGGATGTTGAAGGACCACGCCAACCCCTAAGGTAACCCGACTTTGGGAAACATGAAGGGGAGTTAAGCCGGGTAATCCTGGGCAAATTTGTAAAGGTATCTATCCAACACAATTCTATCGAAAGCCCCTCTACTCTAATTCCCAGCACGACTTGACCATTAGATGGGCACCACAATCTTTACCCCACTCACACCCGCCTTCAGCTTGTCCAACGCGGCGTTCAACCCATCGAGGCCGCCTCCCTCGACCTGAATGCCGGGGCTCGGGACCACAGCCCCCGACTTGAGATTCTCCTGCAGCCACTCGTGGAAACACCCGTACATGTGCCTGTCCCTCTCCGCTTTGTCCCCCGACGGGAAGTTAAACTTGATCTCAGTGTTGTCAAGCGTCGGGTGGTCCGGGAGCAGGACCGGCGAATGGGCCACCCGGGCCGGGGCGTCCCCCTTCGTCTCCTTGAGAACGTCCAGCGTCGGCTGCAGGCTGTCGGGGACCGCGCAGTGCGCCGTGTGCAGCTTGACGCCGTCTTTCTTCACGGCGGCGACGATCTGCGCGACTACGTCGCTGTCCTTGTAGTCGAAGACGGCGTCGGCGCCCAGCCCCTTGAGGTAGGCGTGGTGTTTGGGGCTGGCCGTGGTGTAGACGGTGAAGCCCAGGATCCGGGCGGTTTGGACAGAGAAACTGCCAATGCTGCTGGCGCCGCCCCAGATTAACACGCCCTGCTTGTCCTGTGGGGTGTGCCTGGTGCTGATCGGGATGCCGATGGTGGTCCACGCGGTCAAGGCCGTCACGGCGGCGACGGGGAGAACAGCGCCCTCCTCGAAGGAGAGGGCATCCGGGAGCGGGACGGCGGTTTCGAACGGGGCCAAGGCGTATTTCTGGAATGCGCCGTAGTCGGGCGAACCGTTTTGGTAGAAGGGGGTAACAAACGCGAGGACGCGAGTGCCAGGAACAACCGTAGTTACCTCGGAACCCACTTTGGCGATGACACCGGCGGCGTCGCATCCGATGACGGCGGGGTAGAAGGGTATCGGTGGGAAGTTGGTATCGCGCTGAAGGTAGTCCATTGGGTTCAGAGCGACGGCCTTGACCTCGATGAGAACGTCGGTAGGGCCGGGCTCAGGGGTGATGCGTTCATCGACCACTAACGGACCGCCCTCCTTGAGGAGAACAGCAGCGGAGTGCATGGTGAATGTTTACTCAAACAATAGAGCGACGTAACCTCGATCCTGGGGATGTGGTGGACCAGTATAGCTCGATTCATGTATTCTTGTATGAGAAACAGAAGATCAAGATTCAGCTCCCAGCCCCCTTCTTGCCATTCAGAATTCAGACTCAAGCCCAAGGTGGAGTGTTCTGGGGAGTTAGGGCTTTCGGGCTCGAGCTTAATCCCGGGTTAGCTAGCTGGTTTACCCGGTCTTTCCCGTTCTCGTTGAAAGTCGATACCCTAGGTATGCCAAGATGATGGGGGCCGTTTGCGAGGTATTTACGCGATTCTATCGGTTCGTTTCCTTTACAAGGAAGCTGTCTAATGAGCGGTGTTTTGGGGTTTAATGACTTTTATTTGGATGACATGGTCGGTGGCCCGGAATTGCAGAACACGGGCAGAAAGACAACATGACGAGGGAAGCAGAATGCGGTCTCGAGCGCGGTCTCGGTGTGTGTGCGCCAAAAGGGGCCTCGCTGCAAGGGATTGAACCCCAAGCGAGCTGAGCCCGCTGAGAATGGATTGTAATTTTTAGGATTCGTCGTTTTGGTGTTGACTGTCGATGTTTCACCAGTCTATATCTTGGTGGCTTCAAGCTTAACATAAAAACGAAATAAGCAAGAAACCCGGAACTTTCTCATTCACTCTTAGCCGCCCGGAGCGTCACTCTCGTGATGCGAGTGGAGTCTTCACTGGATGGAGAAAGGCCTCTTGCCATGTACGGAATGATCCATGGGAAGGGGTCGACCCAGGTGTAGGTAGGTGCTACTTGGGTAGGTAGACATGTGGTCAAGTACTATCTGTCTCCGTTCCGGACTCCCTCTCTGTCCCGAGTAGCATCAACAAGGGTATTTCGAGGAGCTGCATCCATCAGCAACACGAAAGGAAAAAGCGTAATAGCAAGCAACAAAACCAAAACCTGACAGGTCAGCCCAGCCAGGTCATTCCTTTTACAGCCCCGTGGAGACGTCAGATTATGTTTCGTTGGCCACATCACCCCAACGCCTACTAACAGGTAATACCACGCTCAGAATGGCCACCTCAATGCTCAAGCACTCCCCAATCTCCGCGGTGTCATGGGGCCCAAACCGCCTTGACCTATTCGGTATTGGAACCGACGAACAAATGTACCATAAAGCGTGGAACGGCAGTAGCTGGAGCTCTAGCTGGGAAGCTCTAGGAGGTGTCTTCACCAGCCATCCCACTGCGACGTCATGGGGCGAGAACCGGCTGGACGTCTTCGGCCTCGGCACCGATAAGCAGATGTACCACAAGGCATGGGGCGGCAGCAGCTGGACTCCCAACTGGGAAGGCCTCGGCGGTACTTTTACCAGCCAGCCGGTCGCCGTTTCTTGGGGCCAAAACCGGCTGGATATCTTCGGCCTCGGCACCGACAGCCAGATGTACCACAAGGCGTGGGACGGCAGACACTGGAGCTCCGGCTGGGAAGCTCTCGGCGGCGTCTTCACGAGCCCACCGGCCGTTGTCTCCCGGGACCAGAACCGGCTCGATATCTTTGGTCTTGGAACCGACCGCCAGATGTACCACAAGGCATGGGACGGCTGCAACTGGAGCTCTGGCTGGCAACCCCTCGGCGGTGTCTTCCTGGAGCCACAACCGCATCGATGTGTTTGGTCTTGGAACCGACCACCAAATGTACCACAGAGCGTGGGACGGCAATAGCTGGGGTTCCGGGTGGGAGGCCCTTGGCGGCGTCTTCACCAGCGCCCCCGCTGTGGTGTCTTGGGGTTGCAACCGGATCGATATATTTGGCCTCGGGACGGACTACCAAATGTATCACAAGGCTTGGTGGAGCGGTGCATGGTATCCTTCTGTCACGGGCTGGGAGGCGTTGGGTGGCACCTTCAACAGCGCCCCCGTGGTCGCGTCTTGGGCCGACCAGCGCCTTGATCTTTTGGGGCTGGGAACTGACAATGGGTTGTATCACAAAGCGTGGGGTGCTTTGGGTTGGAACCCTCCTACAACTGGTTGGGAGGGTTTGGGAGGGACTTTTACGGGCTAAATTGTGACTTGAAGGTGCTGGTGGAGGGCAGTAATATTCTTGTGCCTACCGGCCCGTCTAGATTCTAGCGTACATGGATCATCACTAGCTTATCAACAGCGCCTTGACTTTATACTCTGAGGTGTTCCGTTCTTAAGGGCCTTGAGAAGGTCTGGGAGTTCGAAACCCTACGGGCTATGGATACGGTAGTTAGGTGAACCGTATGAAAGCTTGCCCATGTTGGGACGTTGGGCACTTTTAGTCACGCCTGCAGTAATTAGCCCAACGTCTTTCTATTTGAGGTGGCGAATTATCCAGTTGCTGAGTGAGAAGCGAGCCAGAGGAGAAGGGGGTTGTCGTAGACCTTACTCTCCATACGTGAGCGAAAAGAATCCGCCTTTTCATGTAACATACTCCAACACACAAGTCGTGTTGTTTTTTTAACGGCAAGGATTGGATCTCAGAAGATCCCAATGCACTGCATGTGGCATTAAGTCAATTGTCAAACTGAAAGGGCAGGAAGATGGTTAGAATACAATCTTCGGCCGTGCAGCAAACGTTAGGTACCTACTCAGAACATAGTTACCGCATTTCTCTGGCGCCGTTTCGCGCAACTTGTGTTCCGCCCCCTCCCGAATGCACCCCAAGCATAGCCCGCCGGCAGTTCTGTGCTGCTTCTGTGCCAGCCAGCCCGCTATATTTTGAAGACTAGCACCAGGTGCCCCCCCCCCCCCTCCAAAGCACTGGGTGGCCCCTATCTAACCGCATTTGGAAGGCCGTCAGATTCCCCGGGCAAGCATCCTTCACCGCCCTGCTTCAAGATCAAAGACCCTGCCGTTGTTACCGCCCTTAAAGGCCGCCCGCGCGGCAGTGGGCCGTTTACCAGCGACGGGACTGTCCCTCCTATCCACCCCGGTCCAGCCCGGGGTATTGATTAACTGTCAGCGAGCATCCGCCGTAATCTGAGCCAGTGGGAGCTCGCCGGTGATATCGACCAGTCATCTAACGGTCCCTCGAAGAAGAAGCGTAGCCCGGCCAAGAAGAATCCGCCGAAAGCGAAGATACCGCCCCTGAGTGCCTCAGCAGCGGTTGATGCCCAACGGAGCACTAGACTGGAAAGAGGAGGCGTTACCAAGGCCACTGGCCGTACAAGGGCAACCCCGGCGACCCAGCGCGCTGCTGAGACTTCGTCTAACTTGGTTGAAGTCATCGAGGACGAAATAACCGTGTTAGCAGATTTCTGATAATGTAAGTACTTCTTAGGAGGCTTGTGTTCGGCCGGAAACTGTTACGAACAAACGTTCATCAGGGCCTTTTGGAGCGCATACGTCGGAAATATGGCTAGAGCTATATAGTAGGTAGGACCCCTCAGAGACAAAGTGGGTGCTGGGGGGAGTTGGCATTCAGGAGGAGAGGATTTGTCTAGGAATCACTGTGTACGGGTCCTCGTCATCCTGTTGACAGCTTGTTAGCGAGCAAAATCGAGGTCGAAGCGGTCAGACTCACCAGATTCCTCGTCAACCATTAGTATCGATGACAATCTTCCTTGCGGAGGACTTTTTGCTCTTCCAACGCATTCCGAATCTCATGACTGCAGGGTAGACCATATTGAATGCGATGTCGACCGGTACAAAGCCGCAGCGTGGGCGGGAATGGCCGGGCGGGTGTTGGAACCGCAGGCAGGGCCATTTGGTACCGCTTCCTGATCAAACTGTGTGCATTGTACGATACCTGTTTGGGTATATCGCCGAGCCATGTCTTGTTGAGGAATTCGAATGCCACAGCGCTTCGCTGCTTGGCTGATTCGTCCTCAAAGCGCTTCTTCGTACGGTTGACCATGCGTTGTACTGTAAGCTCTAGCTGCTCGATTTTACTGTTGCCGTTAATGATTTCTGACTTGATTTCCTTGTGGGCAGTCTCCGCTGGCGACGTGGTTCGGGAGCCGAAGTTCGCCGGTTCGGAAGGCCAGAAATGTAGCATTGAGCCCACTGCTCCTTTGTCGGTAACATCTGCTCTTGGAAGTATGCAATAATAGCTGTTTGCTCAGCAAAGTCAGCTTTCAGCTTCAGCCAGGCCCTGTCGAAATGAGCAGCTTCACTAGCATAGATCATATGCCTCCAAAGCAGGTAAATACCGGCCTTGGAATGTTCAACCTATGCCGGAAGCTAGCCGAGAGTAACCCAGTCACATGTAGAGCTTCGGCCGGCCACATTCAATTCATTGAGAGCATACTCATCGTAGGAATCGAGGGAGGGACCTTCTTGATTAGTAGATTGCGTGGGCAGAGAATTTCCCGCTTCATCGTATCGAAAGAGGTGGTCCTGGGCGTCTTGCCTGCCCGCGTGTCACACGGATCACCACGTGGACTCAACCATCATGTCACACGGATCACTACGTGGACTCAACCATCATAGACTCAACCATCATGGACTCAACCATCATGGACTCAACCATCATGAACTCAACCATCATGAACTCAACCATCATGAACTCAACCATCATGTCACACGGATCATTACGTGGACTCAACCATCACCAATCATTTTCAGAAATCAATGGCTACTCATCGGTCAGCCTCACTAATTTCATTGGCGTCCTCGTCAGACGCCCTTCCTCACCTTCTCACCGAAACCCTTCATGTATAAGAAGACTCAGAATGTCAGATAGCTCCAGAACTTCTCTTCTCTCTTCATGGACTTCTCGAGGCCATTGAAGATTATTCTTATTAATACACTTGGTTTTGCCGGTTCCCCCGGCAGCTGATTGTTCAAGCCCTGGAATTCCAGCCCTTGTAACACCGCGTCGCCACTGGGCGTTTTCTTCCACTTCCGCTTGATGTTCAGTATCGCATTCTTGTTGTGATGAAAGATGCAAAGCTGTTGCCAGGCTCTGGGGAAAGTCTTCGTCAGGGCGTCCTTCAAGGCGGTCTCTTGGTCTTTAATAACAACCTCTGGTGCCGGGATGCCGCATTGGATACGTATCACGTCCAATTGGGCTGCGAGGAAGTCGAAGCCCTCCTGCCGTTCGTTGTCTACCAAGGCAAAAAAGACTGGGGAAATTGTGCCTATGTTCGTCAGGACCACAGCCTCGAAGAAGGCTATCTTGAACCGGTTGGTGTTTTACGTGTTGTCGAGGTGCAACACCCACCAGAAGCGCTTCTATTGCTCCTCGCACCATGGGTAAGTCCATACAAGGCTGAGGACTCGTTCTTCGTCATATGGATCATACCGGACGACGTGGCGGACGTTCTAGTCAACGAATCGCTTGATCAGAGTCTAGGTAGGTGTATAACCGCCGAGCCGCTTCTTGTTGTGCCTTGCCCTCATGTTCTCGATGTCTTTCTGGACAAATGCAATGCTGGGCCACTTGACGAGCAACCGGTCGATGATAGAGCGGTTGCGGAGACCGGGAATATCAAATAGCTCGAAGATGTATGCTTGTTGCTCGTCTATAAGGATTCGGTGGCCACGTGCTCAGTCAGCCGCTCGGAAGCAATGTGACCGCGGTGCTCGCCTTCGAATCGTACGGTCCAACGGCGGTTGTTGTCTAGAAGTGCTTGGCATACGGCTTTCCAGGTACATGCTGAGGTCTTGTGGGTTGTCGTACTTCGTATGCCTTGGCCTCGAGAAGGCCGGGATCGGGCGCGGCCACAGTACAGCTCGACTCTCGTAGGCCGGCCTTGCTTGTCTGGGTTCGTCTTGCGCCGAATACTGAAGCAGAAGCCAGTGCTTGCAGCCCAATCCTTCAGATCTGCCGCCAATTTGTCAAACGATTCGTACATCGGACCGACAACAAGCCGGTGGTCCTCTGGTGGGCAGGACGGCGGCTATTTTGAGGGCGGCGGGTCGGGGGCGGCCGGCAACTGCACTGCCGGGCCTGCGAGTGGCCGACAGCTCGAAAACTCGTCCATTTGACAGTATGAATAGTTGTTACCCTGTTGGTCAAGAAATTGAAGTTACCCAAAGGTCTATACCGTGCTTTGGCTGGTGAATCGATAATAATAGCGGGGTGGTGGTCGAAAGATAGGTAGAAAGTGCTGCGATGGTTTTCTCCCGGTCTCTTATTGGTGCTAGTCTAAATACAGTTCGCATTAGTCTAAATGCGGTTAGATAGGGCCCACCCAGTGCTTGGGGGGGGGGGGTGGCGCCACCTCGTGCTAGTCATTTTGAAAGCGGCGAGCCATCTGGTCAAATGCAAAGTCATTGCCCTTGGCGGTTGGCTTAGTCCCTTGGCTCAAAGTTTCCAGGATATTAAGGAAGTTTGCAAGGCTCCTCCCGTCCCCCAACCCGTCGGCGTCCTGTTTGAACTTACTGACCTGGTCTGCCCAAGTCCGGTTCCTAAAGAAGACTGAGGCGTAGGAGCAGGTACGCGACACGTGCATTAACACTTTTATTTGCAGCCTGCTCCGCTCTTCTGCCAGCTTCACTATTTGATCAGTGCAAGTAGTACGATTTTCCCAGCTGAAAGGCATGTCCTTACATGCAATGTTCCGGAGCAGTATGGGGTCAATTATTTCCTCATACTTCTTGGCGAGCTCGAGGTAGGATCCGGACTCCGTATGGAATATAAGTGCAGCTGTTGTCTCGGCAAAGGCCCTCCGTTCGTTGAACAGGCATGCCGCCAGAGCCAGTTCCCACATTTCGATAGCACGGTAGACGATATGGGTGTGATGGAACCAGACGGGGATAGCCAACGAGAGCGCGGCGAAGCAGTCGTACTTGTTGCCGGCAATGGCTACCCGCACCAGCTCATGTGGCTTGATAATCTGGCGGACTTCCTCGTTACGACAGTGCATGCATGATGTTGAAGGTCTCCATGGCGTCGGCGCCGTCTTCGGGGAGTGCGATCTCGGCCGAACCGGTTCTTGCTAGCTGGTGTCCCTCCCTGAAATTGGGGCCGAGCATTACCTTCAGAACCGGCGATGCCCCTTTGATGAAGAGTAAGTGAACTCTTAGCCTTCTTTGGGTAGGGCCGACGATGAACACAACATCGCCTTCCAGAGCTATGTCGATGGTTGCCGTAGCGCTTGCTTGCTCCGACATGGCACTTTCCGAGGCCATTACCCCTGTTGATGGAAACGGAGTTCTTTATTTCGTGTGAAGAAATAGGATAGTATTACCAGCTTTTCGATGCCCCTTGAACTAAGCCCGACACCAATGTAGGAGGTGGATATATAGAGGGAAACTCACCAATTGAGGGAGATGGAATTAGGAGATGGACTGAGAAAAATGGACGGAGAAAGACGGGGAAGGTGAGGGAGAAAGAAGGGTTCTTTCTACTGGCTTGACAAGTGCGCTAGTTGTATTCATCTTATTTAAGCCCCGATCTGACGTCAATACCATACCATGCAACCATGTAGATAGATGGGACGAAATACATATGAGCAAACGCAGGCTTCTTCACGGAGTCAGTTATGCAAGCACCTACGGCAAGTGCGAGACCTAGCAAATCTGGGATTAGAAGTCTATTCATCCGCTGCCGTTCGGGCAACTGAGTCAGGGCCGGTTAGTTGGTCGATGTACGAGGCTTCAAGGTGCTCAGCTTCCAGAGCATGCTAAATTCCGGGAGTTGCACATGCGAGGTCACGCGGTAGGCACAGGTAGACACAAGTAACCTGCTCGTATCTATACAAACCATACTACTAGCCCGGTTGACGGGATATTCCTTTCTTGAAACCGCAACCCCCCTCTATGATCCTCTACACATCCGGAACCCCCGAGTCCCCACCACCCCGATTCTTTTCTCTTCTCACATACCGCCACTATTCATGGAGACCTTG